TAGATAGATAGATAGATAGAGATGGATGGATGGATGGATGGATGGATGGATGGATGGACGGATATCCAGCTAGGAAAGTTATTGTTCTAAGAATGTTCCGAGAAGAATGTTGCTATGTTCTGGGAATGTTTTCAGCGACAAGTTTTATTTTAGTTCCCAGAATGTTCTGCTAAAACGTAGGATAACATTCTCTAAAAACATTCTAAAAATGTTTATTGATAAAATTGTTAGAACATTATCCTCTAACACTCTAATAAAGATTTAAGCGGGAAACTTTCCATTCGACATTGAATGTGGACTCAAATGTTGCTCAGATGTCAAATTTTGGTTGAAAGTAAAAACCAAACCTTGTGACATCATAGTTTTATTGTGGTGATACGTGTTTAGTGCTTTAGTTGGGCAATTTGACTCTTGACTTTTTGATGTTTTTTTTCTCTAGCTATGTTTTTTATGGCAAAAATAGCAAGAAAACATGTGATTAGATGATGCTGGTTGCTTGCTGATGATTAAGATATCATCACATAGCAGTCTGATTATCTGATTTCATCTAGTCTAATCTATGGTATTAGTTGCACATTATTTATTATGGCAACTCAATGGTTCTATAGACTGAGATCCAGCAGAATTTTCATCAGATAATTTCAAGGATTTACTAAAAAAAAAAAAAAAAACTTTCTTTGTCACACAAACATCAAGAATTAGTGTATGAATCTCAGCGATGGTGACATGCTTCATGCTGCAATGTATTCTGGGTGCATCATGCAAAACTCATGCAGGGCTCCCAGAATACATTGTTCCATTGTTGAGATTCATACACTGATTCTTGATGTCTCTGACTGTGTGTCTAAGCATTCAGTAGTTCAAAGTGATTTGTGAACAACGTGTTTTAAAAATTACAGATAGAAATACAGATTATCTCATGAGAACATTGCTGGACCTTATGCTGTTGAAACATTACTACAGTCTCTAATATGAAATTAATCGCATAGATTAGACTCTAGATGAGACCAGTAATCAGATCACTGCATGATGATAATATCTTTATTATCCACAAGTAGCCAGCTTCCTCTTCACATTTTCTCTTGCTGTTTTTGCCATGAAAACATAGTTACAACAGCTAGAGAAAAACCTAAAAGAGTCAAATTAACTAACTAAAGCAAACACTTCTCACCATAATGGTGACATCAAATCAAACTATTAATTTCAAACAGACATCAACATCTAAACCTCTGTTAATCTCAATAAGAACATTTGTAAATGTATGTAATGCTGTTTTTGGAGTTATTTATGCTGGAGCTTGACATCAAACAAAGGTTGGGTTTTCACTTTCAACCAAAATTTGACTTCTGAGCAATGTAAATCCACATCTAGTGTGATGGGAAGCTTTATTAGAATGTTATACGATAATGTTCTAACAATGTTATCAATAACATTTTTAGAATGTTTTTAGAGAATGTTATCCTACTTTTTAGCAGAACATTCTGGGAACTAAAATAAAACTTGCCACTGAAAATATTCCCAGAACATGAACAATTTCTAGATAGATAGATACATAGATTAATTTGACGTCTTGCTTATAGCGCTAATAACTGTAAAAGATTTGTCTGTGTTCCATTGTTTTTTGGACCAAGTATTTATTTTTTCTTTGCCTTTGACTCTTCTTTTGCAGTGCACTGAAGGTTATGAATTTGACTATGAAAAACAAAGCTGTAAAGGTAACAGCTTGTCTCCTCTCAAATTTATGTCTTGATAGCTTAAGCCTTAAGCTGTTAGTGCTACACCAGTATATTGGCCAAGCTGCTTTACTGGCCAATGTTTGGACCTTCTGAGATCACCACAGTATTATCACATTTATACAGTATACACCTACACCTGCACTGATATATCAGAATACCAGCATCAGCCATTAGAAACCCACCATGAATTAGCATACTGTATAATTAGGACCTGTGCTAGATATTCATGTAAAGAGAAAGATAACTACTTTTGTGTCTATTTTCCTCACAGATATAGATGAGTGCAAGACACTGCAGGAAGCCTGCAAAGGGGGCATGAAATGCGTCAACCATTTTGGTGGCTACCTCTGCCTTCCCCACAACGCTCGGATAATCATCAGTAACGGCGAGGATGAGCCCACTACCCCCCCGCCAGTGGAAAGAGTAGAAGTTCAGCCCGGCTTATCCCCCATCTCCAGGGGAGATTACTCAAGAGTCATTCATAGCTCAACACATACACTCCAGTGTAGCGTGGGTTTCATGCCGGACTCTCAGAACTACTGCAGAGGTGAGCAATGGCTGTCCCATTCTCTGCTTGGTTATTTGCAGTATTTGTTGCACTTATGGAGTTGAAAGATCTCATGACCCACAATCCTGTGAATGGTCTGTATATGATAGTCCACGTGTAGACTATGGAAGCTTGTTCTCGCTGTGGAATAAAAAAAGGTACTTGCAATATATTTTAATCTCACAATTCTGAGTTCTCGCAAATCGCAATTCAGACTGCAAGATATAAAGTCAGAGTCAGAACTGCGAGATTTCTTGAGCAATTTTTATATCTATGTAGCCTACACAATAATAATCTTTTACATTGTAATTCTATAATTTTTTATATTTAGCATTAGGGCTGCACGATTAATCGAATGCGATTGTCATGCGCATTTTGTTAGTAAAGCCGGTTCTGTAATCAGCAGATTCCATTTGTATTTATCGTGCAGCCCTATTTAGCATGTTTGTGTGCTGCTGCATTTAGCATGTTTGTGTGCACACACTGTGTGTGTGTAATAAGCAAAGTGTATGTGCGTTGTGGACCTGCCTATAGGTGCATATTACTAACGCGCTCTTTAAATAACAAAAAAATACTGCGCCATTGACTTTAGACCAGGTTTTAGTTGGTCAATGGCGCAATCTATTTCAGTTGCCTCAAGATAGCAATGTGCCAACAATGCGCCTGAGCACAACTCGTTTTCAGACCAGCACACCCATGAGCGTACAAACAGGCACAAATGCATTTGCTATTTAAACAACGTGGCGCAGACGTGAAAATGATAACTGCGTCAGGCTGAAACTAACAAAAAACACTTGCGTTGCTCCTGGTGCCACATTACGCGAAGTGTATGATAGGGCCCAAAGACTAAGGGATAGTTTTACTAACAGCTTGCGCCAGCGCAAACTGTCTTTTGGCATTAAAATAGTACTGTCAGGTTTTACTAAAAACGCGCAGTGAAGAATTAGCGCTGAAAAGGCGTGGACACAGTTATTTTTGCGCCTGACCTTATTGAACATGCATTTCTAGGTGTTTCCCTTTCAGATGCAAAATTTATTGGAGGAGAGTATTCAAATGAATCACGCAACGCGTTTTACTAACGTTTGTGCTCGTCAAATTACTGATATTTGCGCCATTATTTAACGCCCAAAAAAGCATGTCTTAAACTATTTTGCACTTGAAATGGCTGCAATTTGTTACTAGGAAGAGGCACCGCAGAGAACAGAGAGCGCGTGGCAAAAGGGAGAGGATTTTTTTCCACACGCAATTTATTTGGAATGCAAGAAGAACACGAAAATATCGTTTGCCAAGCCATATTATTTTTAATTTTCTTCAGGAAATAAAAGACGACTTGTAACCCTCAACTAGGAGTCACACAATACCAGGTCTTTCAAAACTTCTTGCAACTTGTAGCATTTTTTGGCCTCCGGTTCTTTTCAATGTACTATGGCTTCTTTATTTCTTTATTCTTTATTTGCGACTGCTCTAATTTGCACTGCGCTTGGTAGCCTATATTGCGTTGGTCGATATGTAAATGAGATGTGAGGTGTTCTTTAATTTGCACGTTGTTAGTAAATCACCTGCAGAAATTTCCCCTCCCATTGGCGCTCTTTTGGAATTGCGCTCTCGCGCTAATTTGCCCTGTTTAGTAAAACTGGCCCTAAGACTAATATAATTGCAATTATATTTTTATTTTTTTATTCTGTGGTGGAAAGAAACAGAATTGCAAGATGCAAACTCAGAATTCAGCAAAAAAAAAAGTCAGGATTGCAAGATATAAATTTAAAATGGCAAAATGTTAACTCAGAATTACGAGAAAAAAGCTAGAATAGCAAGATATAAAGTTTTTTCTCACAATTCTGAGTTTACATCTTGTAATTCTTGAATTTACACCTCGCAAATCTGACTTTTTTCACAATTCTGAGAAAAAAAGAGTTTTGAGATACAAACTCATTCTGAGATTGCAAGATATAAACTCAGAATTGCGAGATATTAAACCCAGAATCCTAAGATATAAACTTGGATTTGTGAGACATAAACTCACAATTACCAGATATAAACTCAGAATTGCGAGAAATAAACTCAGAGTTGCAAGATATAAACTTGGAATCGTGAGATATAAACTCGCAATTGCGAGATATAGACTCGGAATCACGAGATATAAACTCGGAATCGTGAGATATAAACTCAGAATCGCGAGACAAACTCAGAATTGCAAGATATAAACTTGGAATCGCAAGATATAAACTCGGAATCGCAAGATATAAACTCGGAATCGCGAGATATAAACTCGGAATCGCAAGATATAAACTCGGAATCGCGAGATATAATCTCGGAATCGTGAGATATAAATTCGGAATCGCGAGATATAAACTCGGAATCGTGAGATATAAACTCAGAATTGTGATATATAAACTCGGAATCGCGAGATATAGACTCGGAATCGCGAGATATAGACTCGGAATCGCGAAATATAAACTCAGAATCGTGAGAAATAAACTCAGAATTGCGAGATATAAACTTGGAATCGCGAGATATAAACTCGGAATCGCAAGATATAAACTCGGAACCGTGAGATATAAATTCGGAATAGCGAGATATAAACTCGGAATCGTGAGATATAAACTCAGAATCGTGAGAAATAAACTCAGAATTGCAAGATATAAACTTGGAATCGCGAGATATAAACTCAGAATCGTGAGAAATAAACTCAGAATTGCGAGATATAAACTTGGAATCGCGAGATATAAACTCGGAATCGCAAGATATAAACTCGGAATCGTGAGATATAAATTCGGAATCGCGAGATATAAATTCTGAATCGCGAGATATAAACTCGGAATAGTGAGATATAAACTCGGAATCGCGAGATATAGACTCGGAATCGCGAGATATAAACTCGGAATCGCAAGATATAAATTCGGAATCGTGAGAAATAAACTCAGAATTGCGAGATATAAACTTGGAATCGCGAGATATAAACTCGGAATCGCGAGATATAGACTCGGAATCACGAGACAAACTCAGAATTGTGAGAAATAAACTCAGAATTGCAAGATATAAACTTGGAATCGCGAGATATAAACTCGGAATCGCAAGATATAAACTCGGAATCGCGAGATGTAAACTCGGAATCGCAAGATATAAACTCGGAATCGCGAGATATAGACTCGGAATCGCGAGATATAGACTCGGAATCGCGAGATATAAACTCGGAATCGCAAGATATAAACTCGGAATCGCGAGATATAGACTCGGAATCGCGAGATATAGACTCGGAATCGCGAGATATAAACTCGGAATCGCAAGATATAAACTCGGAATCGCGAGATATAAACTCGGAATCGCAAGATATAAACTCGGAATCGCGAGATATAAACTCGGAATCGCAAGATATAAACTCGGAATCGCGAGATATAAACTCGGAATCGCAAGATATAAACTCGGAATCGCGAGATATAAACTCGGAATCGCAAGATATAAACTCGGAATCGCGAGATATAAACTCAGAATCGTGAGATATAAGCACGGAATCCCAAAATATAAACTAAGAATCGGGAGATATAAACTCAGAATCGCGAGACATAAACTCAGAATTGTGAGAAATAAACTCAGAATCGCAAGATATAAACTCGGAATCGTGAGATATAAATTCGGAACCACGAGATATAAACTCGGAATTGTGAGATATAAACTCGTAATCGTGAGATATAAACTTGGAATCGTGAGATATAAATTCGGAATCGCGAGATATAAACTCGGAATCGCGACATATAGACTCGGAATCGCGAGATATAAACTCGGAATCGCAAGATATAAATTCGGAATCGTGAGAAATAAACTCAGAATTGCGAGATATAAACTTGGAATCGCGAGATATAAACTCGGAATCGCAAGATATAAATTCGGAATCGTGAGAAATAAACTCAGAATTGCGAGATATAAACTTGGAATCGCGAGATATAAACTCGGAATCGCAAGATATAAACTCGGAATCGTGAGATATAAATTCGGAATCGCAAGATATAAACTCGGAATCGCGAGATATAAATTCGGAATCGCAAGATATAAACTCGGAATCGCGAGATATAAATTCGGAATCGCAAGATATAAACTCGGAATCGCGAGATATAAATTCGGAATCGCAAGATATAAACTCGGAATCGCGAGATATAAATTCGGAATCGCAAGATATAAACTCGGAATCGCGAGATATAAATTCGGAATCGCAAGATATAAACTCGGAATCGCGAGATATAAATTCGGAATCGCAAGATATAAACTCGGAATCGCGATATATAGATTCGGAATCGCGAGATATAAACTCAGAATCGTGAGACATAAACTCAGAATTGTCAGAAATAAACTCAGAATTGCAAGATATAAACTTGGAATCGCAAGATATAAACTCGGAATCGTGAGATATAAATTCGGAATCACTAGATATAACCTCGGAATCATGAGATATAAACTCGTAATCGTGAGATATAAAGTCAGAATCGTGAGATTTAAATTCGGAATCGCGAGATATAAACTAACACAAGAAAGAAATTAATACAGGTTTGGGACAAAATGTGAATGAGTAAATAATGACAGAAATTAAAGTTTTTGGGTGAACTATCCCTTTAATGACAGTTGGCAGCATGTTTAGTAGCTACTGTCCCTTTAAGAGCTGCATGCATTTCTCTCTCAACTGTTTACTTGTTGTGTAAACCTATGTAAGTATGTATGTAATATGTAAACCTTGTGTGTTTTTGACAGTATTAGACGCAAAATCAATCAGACGCGAAAGACAACTTAGTCCAATAATCAGGCGCTTTTTGACAGGCTCTCAGCTTCATGAGTACGTGCTCAGAAAAAGTGCATGCAGAGCAGCACGTGAATTAAATGTTTAACCGGTATTGCTTTAAAGCAGATGCAAATAATGT